CAATTGTAGAGGTCGGAGGCAGAGAATGGCCAATACTGGATCGTGCGGTTGACGGTGCAGAGAGGAAATAGAGAGGATTGCCAGGTGGAAGGGCTATTTGGGTCCTCAGTCTGCCGCAAGCGGAGACGAGGGGTCAGTGGCGGCGTCCTAGGGGTGAGTTCGGGCAGGGCTGGAGAGGGAGATGGGGTTAAAGAAGAGGCTGATGAAAGAGTGGGGGCAGAAGGGGTAGAAGGAGGGACTGGGGACAAAACAGGGGCCGAGGGCGAGTTGTAGGGCAGGGGCCTCAGGAGGGGATTTTGAGGTGGAGAAGGCGGTGAGTCAAAGAGGAGAAGGTCTCTCTGATGTTCATCCGGGAGGACTGGCTTAGGCGGGTCCGGAGTCCGGTTCTTTGGGGCTTCTAAGGCAAGGAGGGTGGACTGGGATGAGGAAGGGGTTTGGAGGAAGGGTTTCACCCAAGAAGGAGGGTTTTGGACCAGGTCCTCCCAGGTGATTATGTAGGCCACCTGGTCCGGGAGACCGCGTGGCCCAGGATCCATCACTTTTGCTTTAACCTGCAAGATAATTGAGAGGGCAAAGGTTCCGTCTCGGGGCCACTCTGCATGGAGGGTGGGCCAGTCAGATGAGCAAAAAGTTTGCCAGCGTCCTTTACGGACTTCTACTGAGAGACTGTGGGCTCGTGCCCGAACGTCAGGGAAGTGAGTCAGAGTCAGGGTTAAAGGTATCGTTAGTGCCTGTCCCATTTCGTATAGAGACTCGTTCACACACAACCACACAATGACAGTTACATAAACAGAGACCAGACAAATACAGAGGAGCCACGCGGCAGGAGAGTGGCGCCACAAATTTACAAAGGATTCAGATGGCAGGGGCGACCTGCCTACGGATTTGAGGAGGCTGACAGAGTCGTCAGCCTTCCTCCGGACAAACGCCAGGGCGTTTCAGATGGCAGGGGCGACCTGCCTACAGATTTGAGGAGGCTGACAAGAGTCGTCAGCCTTCCTCCAGACAACCACCAGGGCGTCCCCCGGGGCACAAGTGGGAAGGTGCCGGACACATCTGTCCCCCTTCCACACTCAATTCAAACGGAGTACTCCCCAGAGTAGCCGGCAAGACAGACAGAAGACAAAATGAAACGAAAGTACCTGGTCGAGTCCGTCCGTTCGTTCAGTCGGAGGTCGGTGGCCCGGGCCAAACGGGTCTCCGCCGGAGGGGTCGAGGGTCCTCCGACGACCCCAAATCCCGGCGGGCCCCCAAATGTTGGAACCTAGGTTTAGATTCCTTCCTGGGAAAGGGGGTCACCTCGAGAGACCACTCAACACGGGAGTCACAGCAGAGAGATTTATTACTAGCGCGCTAGGGTCCTCTGCACAAAGGTGGCAAAGGACCCCGATTGCTCGTTACAGGTAGTTTATATAGGCAAAACACCACCAGTTCAAACAAGGCACGAAATTCAAACAAAACTTAAGGTGCCAGATTCAAACAAGGCTTAAGGTTCAAAATGATTGGAGCCAGCTATGGTGCGAGCAGGGTGTGTCTTTTCTGATTGGTTGGGGTAGGCTAGTTCTCTGATTGGTTGGGGTGGGCTCGTATGAGGGGTTTTTCCTGGAATTATTTTTCTGTTTGCCTTCTGGGGATATTGGGTGTTTACTAAGGGGCCATCTGGTGTTGGGTGGGTCTGAGTGGCCATCTGATGTTGGGTGGGTCTGAGTGGGTTGTTTTTCTAAGTTTCAAAATGGCCTAACTTAAATTTCTAATTTTTATTAAGTTTCTAATTTTTATTCCTTTCAATTCAAAGTAGGAATGCTAAATAATATCCAACCAAAAGGAATAACTACAACATTTCAAGATATAGCACAATAAATATAAATAGAAACAACAAAAAGTTAAAAAGGGAACGGATGAGCCCACCCGTCCTGAGCCGGCCGGATGTGGTGGAAGCTCTGGAGCTCGGGAGCCAGGGAAAGGCCCGGAGCGTGGGCGGAAGGGAGGCCGCCCCGAGAGCCGAGAGCCGGAAGCCTGAGCGGGGGACGGAGACCGCAGGTGCCCCCAGCAACAGCAGGGCGGTGCCACATTGGTCCTGCGCGTGGCCTGGCCGCCTGCCACGGCGGGACGCTCTGGGAGGCCGGCGGAAGACGCAGCACAGCTGCCGGGCGTGGAGAGAGACGGCTGCCCGGGGGCACGGGGGAGCGGCTGGGGGGTCCCGGATCCGAGCCCTGCAGCCCCAGGGTGGCGGTGACGCCTAGAGTCGTGAGGGCGCGGCTGGGCCGGGCGCTTGGGGCAGCCAGGCGCCGCTGCTGGCGTCTAGGCCGCACCATCCAGCAGACGCCTGGTCTCCTCTGATCTCGTGAAGCTTAGCAGGGTTGGGCCTGGTTAGTACTTGGATGGGATTCCGCCTGGAAATAGCAGGTACCATAGGCTTTTGGCTTTAGGGGCTCCCTCCCTCTTTCCCCCTTTTGTCTCGGTGCTTCCAAACCACCCCCGACTCTGCTCCCCCTTGTCCGCCCCTGCGCCCCAGCCGCAGCCCAGGACCTCCTCCTGAAGGTCGCCACTGCAGCACCGCCAGGCAGCAGCATCCCACCTCTTCCACCCGGCTGCAGCCCCACCAGGAGCCCGGCTCCAACCCCGGCGGGAGGGGACCGACCCTGAAGGGTGCAGGCGTGGGTTCCCTGAGGTCCCGGGTGTCCTCCCGCTCCCGGGACGCCCGGGCAATTCAAACATTCATCCAGCGCCGCCGCCACCGTCCAAGCGGGGGGAAGGGGCAGCGGGTCCCACAGACGCCAGCCAAGACCTGCGCTCCAGAGCCCGCGGGCTGCTTTCCTGGGGGAAGAACATTGTTTTCGCCCGCCACGAGGAAATCCGTCCCTGTGCACCCGGTTTCCCATTGCCACCGACTTCGTGTAAACTGCAGTCCCGAGGACACGAGAGAGACCCAGGCCTCCGGCCATGGACACGCTCGGCGCAACGGCTCCCGCCAGACGGACGGGCGCACTCTACAAATTTCGGGGTCCACCGCAGCAAGAGGACAGGGAGAGGCAAACAAAGGAAGGACCCTGTGAAACGCACCCCCAAAGCAACCAATGAATCCAAGAAAAAACACGTCTCAGGGCTCCGTTGATTTTCCCGCATGGGGTCCCTGCCCCCCTGTTCTAGCCCGGCCCAAGCACCCTCCACCGTACCCTGGCCTGCTCAAAGGGAAGGTGTCTACCCGAGCAGAGCCTCCCTCTCCAAGGCTCTGTCGCTCTCGCTCTCCAGCTCCCTCACCCTCTCCCTTTCTCTCCTTCCCTCTCCCCTTCTCTCCTCTCTCCCCTTCTCTCCTTCCCCTCTCCCCTTTCTCTCTCTCTCTCCCCCACCCCCACCCTCTCTTTGTCTCTCTATCGCTGTTTCTCTCTCTCTCCTTCCATTATATCTCTACATCCCTCTGTCCCTTCCTCTCCTTCAAGCTGTGTGTATCTTTGTGTGTCTGTGTGTGTGCTTGTGTTACCGCGCTTGCGCCCCTGTGTGTCTGTGTGTTTGGGAATGGGTTTCCTCATGATTCTGGTGGGGTGTGTCTGGATGTCCGTCAGTACCTTTGTCCCGGGTTCAGGGTGCCGACTCTACTGCCAGCTTGTGGGTGTCACATTTGCCCTGATAGTCTCACACTCGCAGGTGTGTGGATCTCGTTCATTTTCATGTAGAAAACGAGAGCGAAACCACAGAGAAAAGAAACGTCCCGTGCATCACAGCCTGACGAGGGATTCCTGTTTCCTGCAACGTGGGGAGTCTACACTGTGGCCGTTTGGAAACTGGAAAGGAGAACACCGACACGGTGCTGCTTTTCCACGCTTCCCCGGAGGTTTCTGTGTCCCCACAGAGCTCGGAAAACAGTCAACATGATCTCGCTTTTGGGGACCGGAGACACGTGAGCAACAGGCCCCCTTGCAGAGGGCAAAGGAACGTGGAACCCGAAACCACGTTTCAGTCGGCCTGAGTGCGTCTCCTGTGTGGATAGGACTGCACGCCTCGCGCTCTGTTGCAAGCTCAACGTGGGGCTCTGTCATCTGTGAACCATGTGGATGAAAAACGGGCAACCAACCACCAGAGTCTCATTGCCCTCTGGGAAGTTCGCTCATTCCTTCGGAAACGGGAATTCGTCTGAATTGCTCCAGGATGAAATAACCCAGGCTGGCGATCCGGAGGGCTGGTGAGCGCCCCGCCGGTCAACGGGGCTGTGGGCCAAGCACTTAGCCCGCACTGGGCACCCAACATTTTCCCGGAGTGCTGGGTCCTGTTGGTCCTGGAGGCAGAAGACTGTTTTTCTCTCTACCTTCCTTTCTCTGTTTCTTGCTCCTTTTGTCCCTCAGTCCATCCTTCCCTCTGTTCTTCCCTCCCTCCCTTGGTTTTTTCCTCCCTTTCTCCCTCCTTCCCTCTTTCTCTCCCTTCCAGAGTCCTTCCGTCCATCCATCCTTTCCTAGCTCCATCCTTCCGTCCCACTCTGTCTTCGTTCCTGTCCTCCTCTCTGCCTGCCTTCCCTCTTGCCTGGAAAGGGCAGCAGGCCGGTTTACGCCGGGTCTCGGATCTACATTTAGTTGCAAGGTGCTCCGTGGTGATAGTGAAGAGGCTGGCAGGACGAGGGTTGGCAAAGTGATGGTGGAGCTAAGAGGCACAGGAGTCGAGCCGCGAAAAGGAGAACTGGCCTGGCTTCTGCCCGGGCCCAGTGTTTCGCGGACTAAGATCTCCGCCAACCCCACTGAAGAACGTGGGGGAAAAAGGGATGAGAACTCCGCCTGGGCTGGTTGGAAAACCTAGGCGGCTGTCTACGGACCCGCGCATGCACAGTAGACAGTCCTCCTCCCGGTACCTGGCGGGCTCTGGGATCCCCGGGATGCTCAGGGAAGAATGACAGCCCACCTGTGTGTGGAGTCTCCCTCCGGACCTGGAACTCAAGGATCCTAGACAGGTCAGCTGGAAGGGAAGAGACGCCTCTCCATACCCAGCCAGAGGTTCACCACGAAGGAGAGGCCGCCGCCCTGCCCCCACCCCGTCCCAACCCCGCGTCCTAAAGCTCCTCCAGCAGAGCCCGGTGTGCCTCCTGGTTGAGGAGTGATTCCAGCGGAGCGGGCTCTTCCACGTCCTTCAACTCCCCCAGTGGCGCCGGATCTAGGAAAGGTTGTGCATTTTGCTGAAACTCTGCGACAGGAGCTCATCTAACAGACTGGAGGGGAGTGCAGACTAGCGCTGAGGCTCTTGGAGCGGTTGGGAGGGCGCCCAGATGGCTTGCATCTGTGCCTGACACGCGGAGGCTCCTGGGGTCTGAGGCTCCGGAGGTGGAGCTGCCCTGTCTTCGGGTTCCCACGCCGGCCTGGCGACCTGGGGCTCCAGCCCCACCAGCGACTCCCCTGGGACGTCGGTGGCGCCAGCACACCTTGGTCTGTGACTCAGCTCCAGCGGGCCCAGGCTGTCCCACCGAGCACGCACCCAGCAGGCCACCGCGCTGCGAGTCCTGGTCTTTCTGGCATTTGGTGGGGTGCAGAGGCCACCGAGTAGCCGGAGGGTGGAACAGTCCCACTTCCGGAGGAGCCAGGAAGCCCCGAGTGCAGGGGCAGGTGCGGAGATTCCTGCTGCCTGCGCAGCCTGGCTGGGCTGGGGCAGGGGCCCCTGTCCTCTGGCTCACGAAAGCCCCCCATCGGAGAGCCCCAGGCGCGCAGGGCATGTGGGGTGCGGGAAGCCCCGTTCCCCACGCCCCGGGGTGGGTGAAGGCGACTGACGAGGGAGCGGGGGGACACCCGCCGGGGGCCGCATTGCACAGGCCGCCTGCGTGCACCGGTGCCCCGCCACCCTGGCCCTCCGGTTCTGAAACCAAATCTGAATGCGGGACTCCGGGAGGCCCGTCTCTCTGGCCAGTTCTTCCCGGGTGGCGATGCCCGGAAAGCGATCCTGCTGGAAGGCTCGCAGGAGCAGGGCGGTCTGGGACCGGGTGACGGCGGTCCGCTTTCGCCTGCCTTCCTGCGGGCCACGTTTCCCCGGCCAGGGCCGAGATTCCCGCCGGTGGTGCCTCAGCTGGCGTGATCTCTCGTTCTGAAACCAAATCTGGACCCTGGGCTCCGGAATGCCGATGGCCCGGGCCAGCTGTTCTCTGGTGGCGATGCCCGGGTACGGGTTCCGCTCAAAGCAGGCTCGCAGGGCCTCCCTTTGGCTCGGGGTCCAAATGAGTCTCCTTCGCCGTCCTCGTCCTCAGACTTCCGTGGGGAGGGTGCTGTCGGAAAGTGTCGGGAGAGCCATGGAGGGGAGACCTGGCCGGAATTTCGCGGACAGTTGTCAGTGCTGGTCATGTGGAAGAATCTGAGAAGTAGCAGATCCTTGTTGTCATTCCCAGAGCTGCATCCTCTGCTGAACAGGATCAGGGTGCTCCCAGCTCAGCCTCATCTGATCCACTGACAGGCTCAGTTATCTCCTGCCCAGGGAAGGGATGGGCTTCTCTGTCCAGGGCTGAATCCCCAGGACCAGGCAGTGTGGCTGCGACAAGCCAGCCCTCAGCAAGGAAGACATAAGCTGCCTGGGTGGCCGTGGAATACAAGGTCTGCACCTGGGCACACAGAGGCCCCGGAGCCCAGTGAGCAGTGTCAGCTGCTCCCAGGTTAGTGGAGAACGGATCTGCTGGGCCTGCACCTGGGCTAGGTCTTGATAAATAGCCTCAGACATAGCTCGCACAGAGGTCACCAAGCTTTTTCCATGTGATGGTGTTTGGACTCCTAGGGCCCGAGACCTGTGCGGCTTGCTATGCAAGCCCTGGAATGTCCCCTATGATGGGCATCACAGGTCTCCTGGATTTCACTGTTGTGCACAGCAGTGGAGGATCTTGATTTTTTTTTTTTTTCAACATCAAGCTGTACTCCTCCTGGACAGTTCCCTACAGAGAAAGCTTGTGAGAGACTTGCCAGAGCAGTCCCCAAAGAACCTCATTTCCAGAACCTGTGCACCCAGGCGAACCCCACTTGTCTCTCCCACTCCTTCCTGACCATCTCAGCACTGGAATGAAGTGAGGCTGAACCCCTTGTGAGTCCCCAAATATTCTCAGAGTGCTAAGATCTCAAAAATTTACTTGTCAGTAACTGCCTTTCTGCTCAAGTCTCATATGAAAGTTTTCTGATAATTTGCCTTTTGGGGCAAATAAAAACAAGAAAACCACCACTACCACCAACAAGAAAAAACACCAAGATTCTACCTGCTCTGTCTTGGCAGCTGTCCTTGGAACTGATTTTTCTTTTCCTGCGGTTTTCCCGATATGAGCTGGACTCTGGTTCTGTGAATACAATGAGAGTTTGAGAAAGTGCCTCCAACTGAACACCTTGAAATTCCTAGTCCATCCTGGACACACAGGAGCTCAGGTTGCCACCAAACCCCAGCTCTCTTCTGTTCTCCAGTGTCCAGGATCTGTAGGGCCCTGGCTGCCAAGAAGCTCCGGGTTTCCTTGCCAGGGGAGCCTGTGTTACTGCCCTGTCCCTTCTCGCCTGGAAAGAGTCTAAATCTTACCGGATCCAGCAGTGCTGTTCCCAGCCTTGAGGTTGGTTTCCTCAGAATTCTCCTCCTTGTTTGGATTGGGCTCCAATCCTGCTGCAAAAGGAAGTTTAGGTGACTCAATTCTCCCTAGGCAGAGTCCCATAGTCTATCCCTGACGCGTTTTTGCAGATCAGTCTTCCATGTGAAGCTCTTCTGCCAGCGTCACGAGTGAACACATTTCTCAAAGTCCCCTGAGGGCGCTAAGCCGTTTCCCATCCCCAAATCTCAAAATAAAACCCTACTAAAGACACATGGTTCAGTATCCCTGATTCCAACCCTCCTTCCAGCCTCTATGGGAGCAGCCCAAGGCCTTACCTTTGTATGTGCTTCTCACTGGAATGGGAAGAGGCCATCTTGCCTTTTCCTTTGAATGGTTTCTTCTCATCTGAGCCCTTTTCTGTAAAGACCTGTGGGGAAGGGGGCTGGTCAGTGGGGCGTTGGATGGAGGAGCAGTGGAGATCAGGGTGTTCATTTCCCATGTTGAGGCTCAAGTAAAAGGAGGCTGTTCTTACATGCCCAAAAGCCGACTGTGGGTTGTTCTGCTGGACCTGCCTTTATACCTCCCTTGGCTGGGCGTGGCTGACTCTTATTGACTGAGCAGTTTTCTCCTTCCTGCTGCTTCTTAGCGCCTCAATAAAAAGTTTCTTGCTGTAGTCTACTGAGGACCTAGACACAGTTAAGGGGAGACAGTTTCAGGATCCTGTCATAGTGTCAAGAAAACAAAGAACCAGGAGCACAGGGATCAGAAGATCGGGGAATCATTTCTTCCCATTTCTGTCCCAGTTCCTGAAAGTATTTATGATCCTGTTCACCTTTCAAGATGCACAATTAAACACACCTACATTGACATGTGTTATATATTTTGCACAGAAAGAGAATTTATTATACATGGTGTTAACAGTGTATGCATAGATATTATAATTTCTTAAATGCTTAGAAACAACAAATGTCAAATTATGGTTGATTGTATTAGATCCACACATATATGACGAAATAAAAATGCAGAGAAAAAAATACCAAATGAAATGGCCCTTCCCACCTTAAAAATGGGGAAGATAATTAGATCAAATGCAATAAAATTGAATTGATTAGGTTGAGCCAGTGCTAACCTAATCAGCCCCTGATTACTGAGGTAGCAAAAAGTCTAGGTAGAAAACCTTTCCCCCTTTCTCACCCTTCCTCCGTCATCCTGGAAGCGCCATTGTGTTCTGTGGAATTTGTGTTCTGTGGAATTTATTCTGAGCATTCAGCTCCTGTCTTTACACAGCATACACCACCTGAATCCCATCAAACCCACGTTTCTCAACATCGTTGTTTCTCAACATCCACCATCAAGACATATTCCAGGGCGGCCTCTCAAAATTGCCTCAGTGAGATGGGACAAGGTGTGGGGGAGCTTCAGGTTCAGAACAGCAGCCTCATCCCTTCCTACTGCGGTGGAGTCTGTCTCTGCTGGTCAGAACCCTCAGACTACGGAAGGGTTAGTTCATGTCCCAGCAAGTGTTTCCTGAAAGGACCTTCTTGTCTCCCCGTCTGCTGAGGAAAGCATGCAGGAATGAGACCTTCTGTGTTAGGGAGTACTCAGCCTCCAGTCCCAGATGACTTGATTGACTGATGAGCTGATTCCCTGAGGAGAAGAAGCAGGGAAGAGACTGTGTTGGGTGAGTCTGTGTTTTCCCAGCTGTGCTGTCTGTGCAAATAGTGGAACCAAAAAAAGTATTAGTGGTCGATAGACCCTGCCTAGTGAAATCATCTGAATCTAAATAGAACTTATCATAATATCATTATGTATTCTAATATAATATATAAAATTTATTTGACATCTAAATAAATTTTGACATATTATGATATCATAATACCACAGGTAATTTTATAAGAAAATTGAGTTAAATTCCGTAACAACATTAACATATAACCTCAATAGAAAGCTAGGAAAATTGTCTACTCTTGTGTAAATTACTGCTTTTTGGATGACTCTGTAAAGGTGTGAAGAGGGGTCTGCTACTTACTTGATAAGACATCGACTTGCAAATCTTTGCTGTTTTTAACCAGTGCCCTCTCAAGATATGAGAATATTTTACTCTAAGAAAGTATTTTCATAGATATCATAATAGGAATTTTGTTCGTTTTAGTTAATAAATTATTATAACATTTATTGGTTATTAATTATGTCATTGTTAAAATATACTTCTACAGACAACACATTACGTACATGTTTTGATTTGTCCTTTAATCTCAAGTAAAATTTTTAAATTTTTATTTATTAAAGTCTATTTATTTTAGATAAAAGAGACCTTGTAACTGTTATATGCTGTACTTTCTTAGAAAGAGACATGCTCAGGCAAAACTCAGGCCTGGCTCACAACTGGAGTCCCAGCACTTTGTGAGGCCAAGGCGGATGGATCACCTTAGGTCAGGAGTTCGAGGACAGCCTACCCAACATAAGGAAACCCCATCTGTACTAAAAATACAAAAAAAAAAAAAAAAAAAAAAAATAGCTGACTGTGGCGGCTCATGCCTGTAATCCCAGCTACTCAGGAGGCAGGAGGATCACTTAAACTCGGGAGGCAGAGGTTTTGGTGAGCTGAGGTCATGCCACTATACTCCAGCTGGGCAACAGAGCAAAACTCATCTCAAAAAAAGAAAAAACTCAGGATTATTTTTTATCAAAATCTAGATTTTAAATAACATTTCTAGGTGTCTCCTTTCAATAAAAATCCAAACCAAAACAAACAAAAAATTTCTAGGTAATTTCCATGAATATTAATAACTGTTAAATTGGGTGCTTTTATTTTTAAGAGAGGGATTTTTATATGGATGTGTTGATGTGTCAAACGTGTACAATTAAGATTGTACCTTTTTTTGACAGGGCCTCACTCGTCCCTCTGGATGGAGTGCAGCGGTGCAATCACAGCTCACTACAGCCTTGACCTCCCAGACTCCAGTGATCTTCCCAAGTCAGCCTCCCAAATAGCTGTGATGACAAGTGTGCGCCACTGTGCCCAACTAACTTTTAGAAAATTGTTGTAGAGATGAGGTCTCACTATCTTGCCCCAGTGAGTTCTTGTTATGTTGCCTAGGCTGGTCTCAAACTCCTGAGCTCTGGCTCCCAAAGTGATGAGGTTACAAACGTGAGCCACTGTGCCCAGCCAAGATTACACCTTCCAGTGAGTGCACATCTTACCTCAAAAAAAAAAAAAAAACTTATTAAAAGATAAAATCTGAGTTAAAAATGAGTTCACGTTAATGATTTTTAATTTGGTACTTCTATTGTTAAAAGAGGGATTGTTTATATGGCTGTGTTTATGTGTAAAAAGCTAGTAGGACTGAACCTTTATTTATTTATTTATTTTTGAGGCAGACTCTCACTGTGTCACTCAGGCTTATGTGTGGAGGCACAATCACAACTCACTGTAGCCTCAAACTCCCAGAATCAAGGGATCCTGCTGTGTCAACATCCCAGGTAGCTGGAACTACAAGCGTGCATCACCACGCCTGATTAATTTTTATAAAAAAAATTTAATAAAGATGTGGTCTCACTCTGCTGCCCAGGCTGCTCTCAAACGCCTGATCTCAAATGATCCTCCTCCCTAGTCATTCCAAAGTAATGGGATTACACAGGCGTAAGCCACTGTGCTCAGCCAAGATTTTACCTTCAATGAGCATGCATTTTATATCAGAAAAAAATAATAAATGATAAAGTCTGTGTGAAAAATGAGTTGAAGTATAGATAATACAAAATTGGCATATTATTAGTTGTTGCAGAGCCTGGGTAACGGGCCTATTGCACTGTTTCTTTTATTTTGTGTATGTTTTAAGTTTTCTGTAATAAAACATGTATAAGAATACAGAGTTGATCTACAATGTTAGCCCTTAAGATCTTAGTGACTTTGAGGGAGCAAAAAGAGAGAAAGTGGTTGCCAGGACATCAGTGAAGCTGGTTCTATTTCTAGGTTACACACATGTGTTCACTTTGTAATAACTGATTGAACTTTATGTATTTCTTTGTATACATCTTTCTGCATGGATGTTATACATATATAAAAATTTAAATATTACCTATTTGCACGAAATTTTAACTTCATATCTCAGAATAATAGCACTGTTTTGTATTGTTTTAAAGTGGGACGTGTTTTCTCATGGCATTATCAGGTGGATATTAATATTCCAAGGTATTTACTTATGTCCTAACACTTTGGTGACCTTCTAGGTCTTCCCATGTTTACATCAATTTAGTAAGTGGATAGTTTTGATTTTTTAGAGTATAGACCAAGCACGGTGGCTCATGCCTACAGTCTCAGCTCTTTGGGAGGCCAAGGCAGGAGAATCATTTGAGTCCAGTATTTTGAGTTTTTTTTAGGATGCAATTATTCTTCAGCAAAGCCCTCTCCCCACAGTGAGGTTCAGCAATGCAAGGGCACCTAGCACATACTATGCATTTGGTATGAGTAGAACTGAACTGAATCAGGAATAAAATGTGTAGCAGAGGCCAGTTCTGCAAAAAAAAGTAGTTAATACAGGTAAGATCAGAAGACCACAACCCAGCAGCAAATCTTTTCATTCATTTCAGGAAACCATTTGCCATTAGGTCACCAGAAGAGGTTGATTTAAAGCAGCAGTTTGGGGACTTGGTTGTACCCCATAGTCACCCAGAGAGCTTTAAACAGCACTGTGGCCCCGGTCCCACTACAGGGATTCTGAATTCATTTATCTATTGCCTTTTGAGTTTAGGCAATTTTAAAAGCTGCTCTGGTGATTCCCACACGCACACAGGGGGAACAACCCCTGGTTCGGGTGAGAAATGCATTTGCTGCACAGGCATTCCATGTGTGCAGCGGTGATTTGCCCTGTGGCCACTCCTGAGTTTGGGGTCTTAGAAAATACACTTGTCCTGTTAAAAATAAAAAAACAACTTCAAGACACACTCAACTGTTTGGCTAAAATGCAGCACGAGAAAATATATTCTTAACAGATATATCTGGATGGCACCTGCTTTCAGAGTAAAAGGTGGTTTCAAGCACAATATAGCACCTTTTTTTCCCAAAGGCGTTCAAGGCCTTTTACTATCATATCCTTAGGAATCACAGGAATAAAAAATCATGT